TTACTTTAGAATGAAGTAATGAAATAAGAATGGGTTGGTGGTAAAGATATTTGGGGAACTCCAAAGTGCATTAAGGGGAAGAAGTACAAGAAAAAGTTAAAAAATCATATGCAAAAGTGGTTGCCTAATAGCTACATTACCTCTGTCCCAGTCATGCCCATGGCAATTCCAATGTCAGCAAGTTTTAGAGCAGGTGCATCATTTACACCATCTCCAGTCATTGCAACAATTTCCCCCATCTCCTTGAGCATCCTAACAATTTCTTGCTTATGCTTAGGCTCGGCACGAGAGAAAACCTTCCCTCCAGGTTTTGATAAAGTTTCAACTTGTTTTGAAGGGGAGAGAGCAATGAATTCTTTACCGGTAAAACTTTTCCCTCCAATATCCTCACCATCAGCAAACAATTTGATCTCCCTGCAGATAGCTTCTGCTGTGGATTTGTTATCTCCAGTAATCACCATAACTTTAATCCCAGCTCCTCTACAATCCTCAATTGCTTTTATAACTTCATCACGAGGAGGGTCCTGTTTGATAATATTAATTCAGCAAACGAAATCCTTCAATAAAAAAGCATGAAATTTTACTAGCAGATATGAAGCGCCAAAGAATAGGATATATTTACCCTAAGACCAACAACCCCAACAAAAACCAAGTCACTTTCTATGGATGAGTAAGAAGCTGGATCAAGTAACTTCTTGTGAGCAGGATGCCTCTCAGAATAGTAGTCTGAAAACTCTCCCAACTCATCTTTGTATGCCAACCCTAGGCATCGCAGACCCTTTGAACTCATTTCCAGGTGTCTTGAGAGCAGCAGTTGCCTACAGGGTTCATCTATTGGAATAAGGGATCCATCCGCAAGTTGCACATGTGAACTACGTTCCAGTAAGCTTTCAACGGCACCCTACAGAATGCAAGCATAGTGTGATAGAATTAAAAAGATGTATTACAGCATCAGAATACTTTTCCTGGTTAAAATGTCAACATGATGATAAAAAAATGCTCTTAAGCTTGAGGGTGTCTTTTATATACATATATATATATATACTTTGTCACTGTTACTAACTAAAATTTTTTTCTTTCTTTAATTAAATGCTAGACCCATCCTTATAATTTGCGAGATCAGAGTTCAGAGCACAACTCACTCTCGCAAGGAAGGGTAATCACTGAGGCAAGTCCCAGGGTCCTGTTCTGATTAATCTTGTTTAAAATCCATGCCTCACACATACCATATGAGTCAAACATTAGGTCTGCTAATGATCGTAGAGTTGACGAACCAAAATTCTATCCATTGAGAACAATGAAACCTTAACTCCAGCTTTTGTATCATGTGTTTTCTCCATATATACATGATTTCCGAATATACAGATAAAAACTAAAGATTTTCAACTCCTTCAAAGTCTTCAACCTTGAACAACTTCACAATGTACTTAAGTTTCAGAACAGCATAAAAAGAAACCAAAAAGCATATAAGTTATCCATATTTCTTTCAGTCTTTAACCATCAACCAACTGTAAGGCACGTCGAACATCTGAATGATTTAGCGAGTGGTGAAATAGAATGACAGAAAAGAAAAGGAAAACTGAAAAAGAAAAAGCAGTCACCTTGACAAGGAGACGATTATTCCCTGTAGGCTCCCGCACAATT